AATAAATGTAATAAGACTATCTGGGACAATTAATCTCTACAACGGAGAATCGACTATGCGAATATCAACAGAAGAATATACATAGCATGAGCACTTTCGATCACTGCCGGCTTAGAGAGACATTAGACTGAGTTCCAAGAGAGGGCAAGGAGCCGTAGGAAAACCTCGAAATCAATGGCAGCAAACAGACGTTTAAGGCAAAGTTTTTCAGACTTTCATTAAACACTGGATCTACAAAAGCTGATGATGACGATTAAACACATAGCCCAATATTCTGTAAATAAACAAGTCACACGATAACATTCCGTAAAGAAATTTTGCAAATTTGAATGGTGGAGAAGCCTTTATCAGCAGTGAGTTGAAATGAATCAGTTGTATTAACAATATTAAATCTAAAAGCAGTCTCGCTTGCATAATCTGCAAACCTGTAACCATTTTTGGCCAGCTCCGACATTTATTTCACCAAAAATCTGCATATTTATTTTGCAGTTAATATCAATCTGATCGATATCCATTACGTTTCCAACTGAACATACCCCTATAGAAGGGCATAAAGCGTTTTTCATCGAAGAGACGCTTTCTTACTAAGCATACATCTACTTAAATTTCCATTTTTATACTGCACGCATTTTGCACGGAAAATGTTCCCCACGTACGCGAACAGCTGATAGGGAGGTGAGAGTCGGATGGTGTTTTCCCAATTTAGGCAACAGTCCTCTTTCACTAGAATACATTTCCATAATGGGATCTGTATTATGAACCGCTAACAGCTATTCAATTTAATCATAACGATAAACGAAAAGCAGTTCTGCTCTCATCCCATGGTCAGAACAATTTCTTTCTGGTAGAAAAAAAGTACTACTACGAGTTTCCACGGAAAAATAACAACCTTATAAGCTGATATCTAATATAACCAAACATGCGATAGGTTACAAATGACGTAACAAATGACGCAACCAAGACGTTGTCCTAACGCCTAACATGAAGATCTCTCATTAAAATATTTTCATCTTCCACGACGGCTTCTTTTTTTCAGATCACAGAAGCAGATGCGTCACACGGTGCTTCCAACGTTCCAGATTCTGTGCCAGAGTCAGAGCATCGGCAGAAGATAACCGGAGTCTAGAGTAGATTCCTTCCATATATTTGCACAAGGTTAATCTTGGCCGCCACCTGCGCC